TATATATATATATATATATATATATATATATATATATATATATATATATATATATATATATATATATATATATATATATATATATATATATATATATATATATATATATATAAAGATGGAATCTTTGGTGTATATGCGATTGCATGTGTGGGGCTTGCAATCACTTCGTTGCTTTTGGGAGAACTCATCTTTCCTCTTTCGCTTTTTGATTGATCTAAGTAAATGTTTCTTTATCTTTACGAATGGCATGGATCCGGCCGGAGATAAAGGCTTGTTTAGATGTCTAAATAGCTGTTTAATTTAGCTGGTTTGCACTGGCAGGATGAGTTTGCTCATCGTTAAAAATGCTTGGTAAAATTACCTGTTTGAAAATAGCTATTTTGATGTGTGTGTGTGTGTATGTGTGTGTGTGTGTGTATATATATACACACACACACATACATGTATATATATAGATACACACACACAATATTTGTGTTTTATTTTTGTACATGTAACAATTAAATCGTTAATATGTAAAGTATAAAATTTCGTTTTGGTATAATTCATAAGAAATTATTATTACATAACTTTTTAATGATTTCTACTTTTGATTTTCTCATATCTTTTTTTTGAAAATTTAAAATTTTAAACTTCTTTTGTAATTATTGGAACTTTTAACTTTTATTTTTATTTTTTTTATATATTATAAAATATCTTTCAAGAAAAATGATTAAAAAAATAATTTTTCTAAAAGCCAAGTTCAAAAGCTACTCTCCTTGGCATTTCGGATTTTGGTATTTCAAATCATAAAGCCAAGTGAAAAAAATCATTAGCCAAACGATGGTTTTGGCGGTTCGAGAAGTCAAACAAGCCAAAGTTAGTCAAAGATGTCAAAAGTTATCCGAAAAGCTATTTTCCAAACATAGCCAAAATAGGGTCTGTTTGGGAATAGCGTTAGAGATTAGCGTTAACGTTTTAGATAAAATTTTAACGGTGTAGATTACTTTAAAAACGTTAACGCTAAACGCTGCCCGTAGATAGCTTTTTCAAAACGCTAACGCTAATCACTAACGCTATTCCCAAAGAGGCCCATAGTTTGGCTCGAATTTCTTCTTTGGCGGGTTTTCCTTTTTATTCTCATTTTTGTTTGCAATGGAATGGAAAAGTTTTTCTTTTTATCACATGATTGTTGACGAGCTTAAGGAATCAAAAGGGGAGTAATGGGGCCATGTCTACCTATTTGAAATGCATAACAACCATGCTATACTAATTACACCAATAATTGTATCTCAAAATTACACTAAAACTATAAACTAGTATTTTGATTGTTCATACTGGTATAAAGTACTAGTCCGATTAAAAATATTTCACTATAACATTTTGTACTTGTATGAATCATCCTTTAGAATCACACTCGTACAATATGAAGGTGCATACCTGTGATATACAATTTGGGTACAAAATTTGAAGTGCAAACTACAATAGCTTAATCCACTGCAAAAAGATGAAAGCAAAAAATTCAGTGTAATAACTTCAGCATCCTCTGTAATTTAGAAAAATGAGTCAATGTTCTCATACCTTGTTTTCAAAACTTATTTAAAAGATTTATGTGCTTTCAAAATGTTACACATATATGCACCCCCTCCTATCATTTTTTGACCATTTTTCAGAAAAAAATGGGAAATTGGTTCCTATTTTTCAAACTATAGACGACAATGAAGCTCATTTCCTATTTTTCATTTTCTTTACCTTTTTCTCTCTTTTTTCTTTCCCTATATATTTTTTAAATTTCTATTTAGAAATTGTTTTTCATAATCTTTTAAAAATTCAAATTTGTTTGTATTTGAAGTAAAAAATAAATGAAATGAAAAAAATTAACACATATTGAATCTTTCTCAAATTTTAAAAAAAATATTTTTTTTCCAAAATAAATAGTAAAATCTTTTTTAGGAAACTTCAAAAATTGAGGAATAGAAAAAGGAAATAAAATTTTTATAAAAAAAGAAAACAAGAGAAAGGAAATGATAAGGAGAGTAAAATATAAGAAAATGCTTTTACTCGAGACGTCAAAAAAGTCATTTTTTAAAATCAATTGGGTTAAGAAAAAAAAATTGAACCAGTGCGCGATACATTCAAAAAATTGAAAGCACCCCTCTTTTTATTTTTAAAATTAGAACAAATAACCTTTTTTGGGCATCTCAATTATCATAACTTTTTATACCTCTAGAAAAGTACGAAGTAACTTTATTAGCGCACTCAATAGCTACACTTTCCTGTGGAGAAAATTACATAAATAGCACCAATGGATGTTCCGTTTCCCCAAATAGCACCAGTGCTATTCCCCCTTACGTTTTTTATGGGAATAGACCATAATGCCCTGAGCTTTAATGAAAGGAGAATGCTAAAGAGGCACCACATGTGCCTCCAAGCATGCCACCCATTATATGTAAAATTTTTTTTAATTTTTCTTTTTTCTTAGTCTTTTCCTCTCCCACCTTCTTCCCCAAAATTCCCAAATCTCCCTTCTCTCACTTCAACCTCCACAAGCGACAGAATTCGGACAACTCCAATTTCACGTCCTTCTTCTCCGTCGAGAGCATGGCAGCGCCGGAAGCCCCACCCCTCCAGCTCCAGCGCCGGCAGGCCCACCTCTCCAGCTCCAGCGCCGGCAGGCCCACCCCTCCAGCTCCAGCGCCGGTAGCCCCACCCCTACGAACAAGTAATGTATTTTTTGGGGAAACACTTTAGATTTTGGATTAAGCTATATGTACATTTTTTGGTGTAAATGTAGCATGGTCCTTAGCATGTACCCCACTTATTATTGGACTCTGTGAAATAGGTTTGCTTGTTATTTCTGCTTACAGTGCGAATTGTATGGCATAGATGGTTAAGTTCTGTTATTTAAACTTCATATAACATTATTGTCTGTGAAAGAGGTCTGCTTGTTATTTTTGCTTGCTTTCTGTGAATTGTATCTCATAGACGATTAACTTCTGTTTATTAAACTTCATAAAACATTATTGTTTGTGAAAGAGGTTTGTTTGTTATTTTAATATTATTTTCCCTTACAGGTATGGCAATTGTGGAGTGATGGTGCTAGCATTTCTAGAGTATTTGTTGCTAGCCTTACCATTAAGCCCGGACTGCAGTTCTGAACACATGGCTGATTTCCGATGTCAATTTGCAGCTAGGTTATGGCGTGGAAGGAAAACAACCAATATTTAATTTACAATTTTAGGGATCTTTAATTTTTGTGAAACTCTTTGTAATGGTTTTTGTGTTTTGTAATGTATTTTTTGGGGAAACACTTTAGATTTTTTTGAAAGCTTTGTAATGGGGCTTTTAGCATCATGAATTTCTACTTGTTAATGAACAATCTGTTACTGTGTGTTATGAATGATTTACCTTAGTTTATGACTGAATTACAAATTTAATTTCAGAGCCCTCACAGAGAATAACCGTCTATTTTACCT